AGTATGATTCACACGGAAACGGGTTAGCTAGTGACACCTGTGTGGCAGGACTCACCTGAGTACATAAGCTTCCTGCTTGTCAGTTTTTGTCACACTTATGATTGAACATTGCACATCCTTCAAAAGTATGTCCCACTCGGATCTATTATTTAACCAGAAAAAAGGATGATTAATTCCTAACAGTATTTGCCTACTCATAAAAATTACAAAGCTCTCACACTTAAGTTTTCCTGATTAAGGCTATACATACTTTCCATGTCACCACATTCTTGTTCCAGCTTGTCTTATAAATACCAACATCTAGTCTCTTTCCAAAAGTGACGGCCCCACCAAATAAAATGGGACACATTTAATGATATAAAAAAGACTAATAGAATAATGTGAATAAACCACGTACAGAGAAATTTAAAAAGCCAGTAAACAAAGGACTGTCATTACCTCTCAACAGTAAATTATTAAAGAAATGCAAGTTAAAATGAGATGCTTTTTCATACCCATCAAATTCTCAGATTTTTAACCTCAGTATATGAATTACAGTCTGAAAAACACCCTTTCCCTCATGGTAGATTTAAAAGCCTGACACAGTAAGCTGGTGCTATTTTAGAACCTGCTTATATTTTCTGTGATCAAACTGGCAGCCACTCACAGTATCTAGTGGTGTCTGAAGTCTAGAAACACTGTCAAAGAAGTGAAAAATGCCACCGGCTGGTAATTTACAGCACAAGCACACCCATTCAGATCTTGGGAGCGATATATGCTAACAGGATCAGAAAGCCCGTTTCAACCATGTCAATGAAGTCTGCAGTACACCTAAGGAAGTGCCACTGTGAACAGGAAGGTAACACGGAACAGCTTCAATTTTCCACATTAAAGGCTTGAAATATTTTTTAAGTTCTTAGTATTTAGTATTTAATAGGTTCTCCTTCTAACCCTAAATAAATGGTGTATTATGGCTAAAGTTTTCTTATCCAGTTAAGATCCTATAAGAGAAATCTTCAAGAGCACAGCCAGCACAAAACCCAGGGTTTCATTCTTTTCTATTAAAACACACCACACCACCCATCAATCCTGCTAGAATTCTGTACCTGTTTCATCACTTTGCTCAAACAACTGTTACTATAACAGGCAACTGTATGAATATAACAGAAGGCAGTACTTCCTAAAGTAGGCCAATTAATTAACTGAACAGCTCTGAGACCCACCTGAAAAACAAACGTGTGCTTATTAGCTAATCATAAGAGCCCATGAGCCATGCCTTTACCAAGCAATTTTTAAGAAGAGCTTAACTACTAGCCTTCTTTTTAAAAGTTGCTAATAACTGGTTTTATAAAATAAAACTGGCCATTTTTTTGCATTTAGTTTTTTTTTAAGTGGCACAATTTGTTTAGGGAAGGAAAAAAGTTACCATTAAGACCCAGTTCTGAGTGACACAAACTTAAAGACTGTTTTAATCCTTGTATTTCAGGGTGCCAAGTAGCAGCTTTGAGTTTCATATTGCTTTCTAAAACTCACAAAGTTCACTAACGTGCAAACATTTCAGAACCCACAGTATTTCAACTCCACAAATAATATGCTGTTAATGCACAAAGGCTCGAGCAGACCTAAAGGGAAGCACAGGGCTCCAGTGGAGGCTGCTGCTGCTGCTTGTGACGTTCGTGGTGATCACATTGATTCTGGTGGCTTGGTCACTTAACTGGTGGGTAATAAAACCTATTCCACATGACTAATGAGATTAAATTACCTAATGCACACAGAATTCCCCTACTTGACAAGAAGAATTCAAATACAGATAGATGATAAAGGTAAATAATAAAAATACCCACTTCGAATATAAGTTTTAGTGACTGGCACACATGGTATCTGTTGACTGTCTTTTCCTTTGGGAGACGTCAAGAATTTCCTGGTTGTTCACAGGTGAAGTAATTTATGAGTGCACCCTGGACATTTTGATCATGTTATAGAACTTTAAATCTCATTTGAACCCTATGATTTAATGGGATTTTTAAATCTAATGCTGGTAGTTTAAAAACCGTAAAATTCTTAAAAATTAAAAAATCGTATTAGCAGGCAATTGAAGTGGTTACTGGCAAATGGTCACTAAGTTCTGTCTTTAAGTTCTTATCCAACTTCTGTGGGTCAGGCTATGGTCTCCCTTCAGTCACGAAAGCCTCTGTCATGGGATTCTGGTGCTTCCCGCTTCCGTGGGGCCCACTGAGGTCAGCGTTCGGGGGAGGGGAGACCTGACAAGAGGTCTATCTCCAGACTACATAAGGAACCCCTCTAACAAAAGTAATCTTTGATAAGCAAATGGTCAATAAACGTATGAAAAGGCCTTTGAAATGCTGCTTAGTTCTTAGCATCGGATCCATTCGAGCGCTTGCTTCAGCTGTGTTCTAAATCTTTACGGGATCACCTTCCTCACCACTCTTCTTTTCCTTAGCCTCCCTGACAACTCCTGGCTCAGGGACAAGAAGCCCCCATTCCTGGTCCTCTGGCTAGAAAAACAAGGCTTTAGTTTTCCACTCCGCAGCAGGCTGTCTCTGAAGGTCTCCCCCACTGGGGCCAAATGAGGAGAGGAGAGGCACAAAAGAAGCAGGGATCACTCTGACATCCTTCGCTCTGGAGACAGTGCCTCTGGTCAAGAAGGGTCCCCCCTTCCTTACAGCATTTTAGGCATCTGCCTTGCCGTCACTGCTACAGACCGCCTGAGCTGCAGGCAGAACAGGAGAAAAAAATACGAAACAAGGGCTCTCTTCACTCTCTGACCCAAACAGCCCCGCCCCTCGCCGCCATCCTTCTCTGCAACCACAAAAAGAGGGTCTCTCTTGCAGCATTTTGTCTGTGCCCAGTGAGCACTTCCAGGTTCCTGGCAGCTTGAGGCCATCCCAGGAGATGCCCAGGAAAAAAAGCAACAGGAAATCACAGCTGTTTCCATGGTAGTTGTAGTTTTGGTGTCCTTCTTCAACTCACCTATTACCCTTTACTTCTAATCCTCAGATAGCTGATCCATGCATTCTATCCAGGGTTTTCAAGTTACATTTGTAAGAGAAAAAGAGTCAAACCTGCTCACTCTATCTTGATGGCAATCAGAATGCTCGTGCACTCACTGATCATTAGTTAATAGATTCTGCAGCCAAACTCTTCCCCACCTCAAAGAAACCCTCAAGTAGGATTTTGCAAAGTCACAGTACGATAGAAAGCAATTGCTTTAAGACTTATTGGATGGCTATCAACCAACTGATTATAAAGATATACTTAGGGGAACTGCTATGTTCAAAGAATAAACCAAGGGGCAAGAGAAATAGGAGACATAAAACTGTAGTCAATACAAGGCTATGCATGTGCATAAAAAGAAGCTGGAAAACCAATCCTAAAGTAGCTGAGAATTTCAGCAAATTATTTTGTCATATTTCTATGGGGAAAATAAGCCTCCCTCTTGTAAATAAAACTTTTTTGGACCCTAGGCACACCTAGATCATGATAAATGTCCTGCAGAAATAGCATGCTCTTTACTAATGACAGTATATGGATTGAATTTTAGTCACTATGCAGAAAAGCAAAAACATTAATGCCATGCCGTATTCTATATTTAAAAGTTTTCTTAAAAGAAGGTGGTCTAAAATGATTTCACTCATTTGAGTATAACAAAGCAAAACTGAAGAACAAAACAGCAGCAGACTCAGACTCCAAGAAGGGACTAGCGGTTACCAAAGGGAAAGGGGGTGGGGAGGGCGGGAGAAGGGGATTAAGGGGCTTTATGATTAGCACACACAATATAGGAAGGTCACGGAGAAGGCAGTACAGCAAGGAAAAGACAAGTGGTGACTCTATAGCATCTTACTACACTGATGGACAGCGAGTGCAATGGGGTGGGGTGGGGTCACTTGATAATATGGGTGAATGTTAAAACCACAATGTTGTTCATGTGAAACCTTCATAAGATTGTTAAAGGAAATCTGAGAGTATTTATAAGGGAAAAGATACTTAAAATGACAAAAAAGAATCCTATGTCCTCTACTTTGGCAAGGCTTAAAATGGATATTGACTACATTTTTAACATAAAAAGTAATTTGAAAGTAAACGCCTCAGGTCTAATGATCTTGGACAAAGGTGCAAACAACAGGGAGGCCATTACTGTCACAGAATGGTGATGGGAAAAAACGGGTAATCCTCACCTCATGAGAAAGGAAGGTGGACCCTTACCCTACACCATACACACAAACTAAAGTGCTTGCTTCCAGACCTAAATTAACATTTAAAACTATTAAAAAAATATAAGAAAATAGGGAGAAGCTCTGGGACACTGTATCTGGCAATGCTTTCTTGGATATGACCAGCAGCACAGACAACAATAGCAAAAGGATGGAAAGGACCTCGATCTTAGTAACTTTTTGCATGATAAGAAAACAATCAACAGAGTGAAAAGACAATCTCAAGAATGGGGGGAAATTATCTGCAAATCATACCTGACAAGAGGTCTATCTCCAGACTACATAAGGAACTCCTCTAACAAAAGTAATCTATGATAAGCAAATGGTCAATAAACGTATGAAAAATGTGCAACTAAATGTCAAAGAAATGCCCACCAAAACCTGGAGCCAGTGCCTCATGCCCACTAGGGACACCTCCTCTCCAAACTAGGAGAAAAGAACAAGTGTCCGCAAGGACGTGGAGCACTTTCAACACTGGTGCACTGTTGGTGAAAATGTAACGGTGCCACCATCATGGAAAACAGAGCACAGTGTGGACATTCCTCAAAAACTTAAAAAGCATTATTACCATACGGTCCAGCAACCCCACCTCCAGGTATATGTCCAAAAGAATTCCGAACAGGATCTGGAAGGGTATTTACACCCCTGTGTTCACTGTTATGCACAACTGTCAAGAGATGGAAGCAGCCCAAATGTCCACTAGGGGATTAATGGGTGAAGAAAACGTGGTACTTATGTTCAATGGATTATCTGCCCCTGAAGGTAATCCTACCACCTGCTACAACATGGATGAACCCTGCAGATGTGATGCCGGGTGAAACAAGCCATCACAAAAGGACAGGTACTGCACGATCCCTCTCACATAAGGAGCTCATATCCTCCTATGAAGTATTTGAAGTAGTCAAAATCATCAAGGTGGTTTTGGAGGACGGAGGGAGGGAAAGGGGAAGTTAGTGTTAAACGGGCATAGTCTCAGTTTTGCAAGATGAAAAAATTTGAAATATGTTGCACAATATGAATATACTTACTACTACACACTTAAAAAATGGCTAAAGTGGTAAATTTAATGTTAGATACTGTTTGCAATAAAAAAATGACCAAGGAACAGAATATTGCTGGCAGGCTTTAGAAACCCTTCAGCGCAGGGTGTCACGCACACCTGAGGGACCGGATCCTACCCTCAAGATCCAGCAGAATGCAGACACTCTGCAGAGGGTGCCTGGAAACTTGCATTTAAAAGGCATCCCTGATCAGATTCCTCTAGTATATTTCTTCAAGCAAAAAGCAGTGGTTCAGGTTATCAAGTAATTTATCCAACGCCATACAACTATTCAAAGTTTTTCTGAACTGGGATATCAGCTAAAAGCCTAAACCGTTGCATACTCTCCTTACCACATTCCAGTCAGGCCTTTACACTTTATCCAAGGTAAGTCTTTGGATCAAAAACCATCCTCTGAAAACAAAAAGCATCCTATAAGGTAAGACGATTTTTCCATAAAGCCTGGGCTGTCCAGAAGTTAAATTCTGAGGGTGCTTTCCCAGGTCAGTTAATTCAGATACACAAAGAAATCAACCTTCCCCTTTTGTTCGAAGAAATCAACCTCAGAATCCACTGCTTATATAGTTATAATCACAGTATTCAAATTCTCTTTCTCAAACTTTTACCTAAAATTCAAATCACCATCAGTGCAATTCCTACATTCAATTGATTATTACTTCCAATGTGTACATCTTTGAGAAGGGTGATTTGGCAGATAGCAATTCAAACTTTTGAAACTGATACAAGGAATACAGAAGCTTAATTCAATAGGAAGCTTTTCTACTTTAAAAACATTTGTGCTAACAGGTTTCTTGGCAATGGGTTGAAAATTCCTTCAATGTAAATTACTGATACTGCAATACGGTGCAATGATGTATTCAAGTAAGGCATGAGTTCTGGGCAAGTTAATACTGAGCTGTAATTTACTCTCTTTGGAACTGCCCCAATCCTTTACTGAAAATTGTATTTTAGCTTACAAAATTTGAGCGAAGGACAAAGATTAGCATTATAGCCCACCAATTCTAAATGTCTTTTCCAATATTAGAGAGTCTAGTTTTCATACGTTCATGTAACTGTGAACATAAAACACCTCTTTCTAACCTTTCCACAATTAAAAAATACTCTCTTCTCCTCCACTACAATTTTCCATATGAACCCACATCATCAGTAAGAAAGCTCAGGTCTGAGGCGAACTCTAAAGCAAAAAGGAAAGCCAGTTTTATAGTCCTTAAATATCAGAATAAACTAACTTCCCCTCCGCATCAGTTTATTTTCTAATGGACTCCCTCCCTATACCTGTCCTTTCTTATAGAATAAAAGGCTTCTGTTTGGTCCAGCAACTCTATGACATTATCATATGTGGCTACTGGTTTCAACGTCCTTTTGAAATCTGAAAAATCTATAGAGAAAACTGCAGATTAAACCTAAAATACTATTCCCCCTTTTACATTTCAACTTCACATATAGTGTGTAACACATCATCTTAGAATATCACCTATTCCTTTACTCATTTGGATATTCACGGACTGCTGTTTTTCTCCAACATATTGTTAACCAGTATTCTTTAATGCAAGCAATACCAGACAGGATTTCCTTCTTGAAAAAAACAAAACAAAAACTACATAGTGTCCTTTTTGTCTCCCTTGAAAAATGAGTAAAAAAGATCCTCAGTATCATGCAATTTATTTAGGTTACACTCAAGGTAAATTCTAGTAACTGGCCTATAGAGGGTGGGAAATGTTTAAGAGAAAAGGTGAACATTAAGGTAGAGGGTTCCAGCTGGACTTGAGAGTTAAAGCTTGGAAAGATGATCCAATTTTCTCCTTCAAGGGTATTCTATTCCCTCATATCATACAGAAAAAATCAATACCAGATGGAATGCAGATCTATCCAAACATGAAAAGTAAAACAAAATTTAAGGGGAAAAACAAACATTTTCATTAACTCAGGATGAGTAAAGAAAAACAGAATTCAAAACTGCTAACTATTAAATGAAAAATAATGACAACTGGACTACATTAAAATTCTAAACTGAAAATATCATTAGTAGAATGAAAAGGGAAGTCATAGTTTATTTGTTGTGATACACAAACTGGAAATAATTCATCCATAATATATAAATAAATAAAGATTTCCTACAAAATGAAGTCATCCCCAAAGAACTAGGCAGACTTGAACAAGCATTTCATGGAAGATACCACCCAAAGGGTGAGTAAAGAAATGAAACGATGTTCTACTCCATTAGTTTGGTGGGAAATACCCTCATCCTGGATATATTCACACCCTATGACTTAACAATTCCACTCCTGTTTATACATGTATATCTAACAAAGCATACATATTGCTCACTAAGACACAACAGTGTTCATAGCAATATATTTGTATTAGCAAAATGGAAACTACTTATATACTCATTAACAGCAGTAGAGTGGGAAAATTATGGTATATTGACAAAAAATACTACATAGTTTGAAAGTGAACTACAAAACCTCAGTGTTGACCATAGGAGGCCTCACATAATGCACACTAAATGATCCCATGTTATACAAAGTTCAAAAGTAAGGAAAGCTCATCTATGGTGTTTTAGAGGTCAGGTAGAAGGTGGGAGGATAGTAATTGCAAAGTACAATGGAGACTTCTGGAGTTACATTCCTTAGGTCTGAATGCGGGTTACATGAACACGATCAGTCTGAAAATTCAGGATGTACTTAAAATTACTTTGTGTTACGCTTCAACAAAATTTCAGAAAAACAAAATAGCTGTATTCAGAAGATAAGCTGTCCTACTAATAGCCCAGTTTTTTATATCATATATTTTCTCTGGCAAATTGCCAGTTCCTCCAACTCTGCTGGAATATTTCCTTCAAATGACCCTATGGTTGTTCTCTTGGTTCAAGTCTTGGGAATAATTTTCATCACAAATTCTTCAAACCCCACACTGCTTCCAACTAAATATCGCTGATCTTATACTTGATAACAGCTTTTCTCTAAGATCATTTTAGCAGCTTTCCAAATTCACATTCCTTTTCATTCTGTACAATCTGGGGGCATATAATGCTCAAAGTTTACTCAGTACAGATGCTAACTGCTAGGTTTACATCTATGGGATGGAAGAGGGAGTTTACATGTGAACAGCAACCAGAATTATCTTTTGGTTTGTAGCAGGAAGTACAACATACATGCCAACAATGACTAGATCACTATTTCTACCAGTAGGTATCCAGACACTGGAAAGATGAATTTACTACGCAAAAAATGACCAGGTTCTGTTTGAGGTACACACCCATTCATTTTACTGTATCGCGAAGACCTTCAAATTCAAATCTTTTCCATTTACATTTTATCTTCAAGACTTCTGACATACATATACCTGTGAAACCATCATACGATAGTGACCACCTCCATCAGCCTGTCCCCAGGGTCTCTCAGGCCTCCGTAATTCGCCCTTTCCCCTTACTCCCATCCTCAGCAGCCACCTGTCTGTCAGATTATCAGGCATTTCCTGGAGATTTGTAAAATGGTATCTTGTGGTACTTTTGGTGGGGCTTACTTACTTACTCCAGCACAATTATTTGTTGCATGTAACATTAATGGTTCACCTGTTTATTACTATGTATTCTATTGTATGGCTATGGCACATTTTGGTTATCCATTTGCCTGTTAGTAGAGATTTGATTCCAGTTTGGGAGCGACTACAAATAAAGCTGTTATGTATTTACTTACTCAAGAGAGTAGGGAAATATGTTCATACAAGGACTTTTACACGAATATGCATGAGTGGCCTGGCAACAGATGTTTAACTTATGCCAAACCACTTTCCAAAGTGGTGATACCGTTTTTCAATCACATAAGCAGTGCTTAAAAGTTCTGTTATCTTCACAGTTATTCAGGGTTTGAAACCAAAAGTTACATAAGCTCCAAAAAGAGGTCGAGTGTCTACTTAGAATGTGTAGGGAAGGTTAGAATTGTTTCTGCCTTGAATGTCATAAAGAATATTCCAGTGAAACCATGTGGGACTAGAGTTTCCTTTATGGGGATGACTAATGACTAATTCAACTTATGCAATGCTTATAGGACTACTTAGATTTTCTATTTCTTCTTGCAACAACGTTGGAAATAAAAATCTTTCCATTTATTTTCTTGTAACATAATTTACCTTTTAAATGTCTTTAGCAAGGCCTTTCTGGCTTCCAAGCTTTTATCTCACTAAATAAAAAGAAAGCTATTAAAAACGTCTTATTCCATGGAAAAATTAACGAAATGAAGCATATACCTCAACACCGAAAAACTATTTAAAAAATGGAGGACCTAAACAGACACTTCTCCAAAGAAATACAGATGAGCAACAGGCATACGAAAAGATGCTCCACATCACTAATCATCAGGGAAACGCAAACCAAAGCTACAATGGTATCACCTCACACCAGGCAGGATAGCCTCGGTGACACTCAACACTGCAGTGACACTTATCTCCTCTACTTGAATAGAAATACATAGCTAGGGCACCTCCAACGTGCAGCCTTTCAGATTACAATTTAATAATATTCTTTCTTCTCCAGCCTTCTTGCTTTAAAAGGAAAAGCAGATGATTTTGCCCTTAAGTACAAAGAATCACAACATTTATAGCGTCTACTATGTGTCACACACTTCAAGTGCTGTACCCCACGTAATCCTCACAGCTGCCCTGTAAGGTACCGTTATTGTCTGTTTTATAGACGAGGAAACTACTAATGGCCATGAACTTAGCCACTTCATTATGCATTAGTCTTCTGGATAACTGGTAATCCATTTAAGGTCTCTGGGGCCCATGCCCCAACCTCTCAAGAGACCAGAGGCGATGATTTACTCTGGCCAGACCTCTGATTTTAAGTGATACGTATTATCTAGCATCTACTTTTTCAGATTTTTAAAAATCTCCTGTTAAATCCCACACAGTGCGTCCTTGTGCTTATCAGCAAGTCACGAAAAATCTCACTGATGAACCTCTGAGTTAAATCCAATGAACTTTTCAGTTGTTGTTCTATCTACAACAACTGAAAGGTGGCAGTACTCTCTCAAAATAGTAATACAAAGTCATTAAATGTCCACAAAATGCACAGCACTAAAACATGAACTCGACAAAATATTACGTCCCCGAAGGTTTAACTTCTGCTATCATCTTAAGAGCCACATTGAAGCAGTTAGACAATTTCAGCTGATTTAAGTACAAAGGGAAAGTAGTTGCAAGCTGCTTTCTCTAAGTCTCTCGCTTTATGCGTCAAGGAGCTCTCCTTAACAAACCAAAAAAAAAAAAGCCAAGCTTAAAATCCTGGTATTTTTTCCTCTCAAGAACTCAGGGAGGAAAAACCCTGTTCCCTTTACAAGCACGTGTGCTTACAAATAAAGCTTCAAAGCATTTGAATAACCAGAACAAAACGCTGTTCTGTGAGACACACTGCCTCCCAGGATGCGGGTCCGGACCGCGGCGGGCCGAGCCTGGCAATCCTGAGGGCCCGCTCGACATTTTACGTGTCGCACAGGCTTGGAAATGAGACCCGTGACGCCCCGGCCAGCACGTGCTCTGCCGCGAGTAGCCGCCCCGCCCGCCTCGGCCCAGGCCCCGGCGGCGCCCGCGGCCCGGCTCCGCGGCCCCAGGACCTGCAGCCTCCGGGCCGCCCCGTCACAGGTTCCACGGCCCAAGGTCAAAGGGCTGGAGGCGCGCGGCGGCGCAGGCCGCCGTCCCCCGGCCGCCCCGGAAGGGTTCCGGTGTGGGGCGCGGGCCCGACCCCCGCGCCTCCCTCCGGGCCCGGACTCGCGCTTCACTCGGGCCTTCGGCCACACCTGCCGGGCCCGGCCGCCCCCGAGCGCGCGGCGGCGCCCGCCTCCCCGCGGCAGCGCCCGGCCGGCGGCGACGGCAGCCCGCGCGGCGCGGCCGTTCCCCCGCCCGGGCCCCCGGCCCCGCCCCGGCCCGGCGGGCGGCGCCCCACCTCGGGATGGTGCGGAGGTCCCCGGATCCTTGGCCCGCGTCGGGGTGCTGCCGGGAGAACCAGACCTCCAGCAGCTTCTCGGTGCCTTCGAAAAAATGTGCAGCTTCCATCACCGTGAGACCAGCGAACAACCAACAACCACAGAAAATCAACTAAATTAAATCTCTTCGCCGCCGCCGCGGACTGTTCCAGCTGTGTTACTAAAGTTCAGGTTCCTTTTTTCTGCTATAGTTTTATATTAACTTTTTTTTAAAAAAAGGGTTAATAAAATCTTCCCGGCTTTTTTTGTGTGAGCGAAAGTTGAACGTTAAGTCTGTTGGAAATAGAGGCAGATGCAGTTCAGGCTTGTAGTCCGCTGTTTCCCCGTTAGCGAGCAGGGCGGGCGCTAGCTAATGTCGCCGGCCATACTGTGGAAGCGAGGGCGCGGCGTGCGCGCCGCCCTTATATACCCCGGCTCCGCGGCGGGCCGGACGTGACGCCAGGGCCCGCCCCTGCGGCCGATTGCTGCAGCCGCCCGTCAGTCACCGTCGCCGAGGCGCGGCCGGCACCAGCGCGGGGAGCTGCCCGCCTCGCTGCGGCGGGGGCCTGCGCTCGCCCCCACGCTGCCCCAGGGGCGGGCCCGGCGCCGTGCGGCCCGCGGGGGTCGGGGCCGGGAGGTGCGGCGGGAACGCCCGGGGGCGGGGCACGTGTGGGCGGGGCCGCGGGCGGGCGGTGTCTGGGGCGGCGGTTGGCCTGCGGATGCGGCCGTCGGTGCCCTCCAGGGCGCCCCTCGGGGAGCCTAGCCGGGCGTGGGGCGCAGGCGTGCGTCCGGGCCGCTCGCGTGGCTGGCGGGCTTCGCAGGCGCTCAGCTCGTGGGCGCGCCTCCGCTGGGGGGGGGGGTCGAGCGCGGTGTGCGCCACCGCCCGGCCTCCGGGTGGGAAGGGGCGGCAACGTGGCGCCGGCGCGCAGGGCCCGTCCCGCCCGCCTCCGCCCTGCGGCTGCGAGGACCGCCCCTGAGCCGGCGGGGGGCGCCTCCCCCAGGCGGGCGGTGCTGCGGGGCGTGCGGGGCCGGGGGCCTGGCCTCGGCGCCGAAAACGGCCGCCCAGGCCCGTGGCCGAGTCCTGCCTTTCGCTCGGAAACGCGGGAGGAGAGACCCAGCCTGCCCTGAAAATTAACATTGTCGCAGAACAAAGGACCTTCCCCTGCCATCCTTAGAAAGTGAAATAGGGTAAGATAGGCACGAAAACCGAAGGAAAAAGACACGGTTGAGTTTGCACTCCAGGTTGACCCCGGACAATAACCGGCGGACAGCGTGAAACCTGAGGAAAGCAGCTGTGTGTAGGGTAGGTGTATCGGCGACTCTTGCCATGTTTTTAAAAGCATCACACTCAAACTGGGGATTGGGACAAAGGAGAAATGTTCTTTCACAATAATTCAAAGGAATGTGGTGGTTAAACTTGGGCTAAAGATAATGAAGTATTTGTGTTTTACAAGCTATCCTATTATTTGATGGCTGCTTACCGAAATGAACTCAGTCTACTAAACAACCTCAAACTAATTTAGTTTATAATTGCTTATAATTAGTTGCTATTCAATTACTATTATGCTTTTTCTGAATACAATTGTAGCTATTATTAAAGTGCCAAGAATCTTGGCAAGGTAAGTCCTTGTTAATTTGATAAAATTTAAATACAGGCATACCTGGGAGACACTGCAGATTGGTTTCAGACTACCACAATAAAGCGAGTCGAATTAATCTTCTGGTTTCCCAGTGCCTGTAAAACTTACGTTTGCACTATACTGTTGTCTGTTGGGTGCAAGAGCATTACGTCTAAAAAACAATATACATACCTTACTTCAAAAGATGCTTTATTGCTACCGACTTGTAGCCATCATCTGAGCTTTCGGAGAGTCACAGCCTTTCTGCTGGTGGAGGGTCTCCCTGCACGCTGACGGCTGCCGACAGATGAGGGGTGGCCGCTGAAGGTCGGGGCGGCTGTGGCAGTGCCCTAAAGTGAGACAACCCTGAAGTCTGCCACATCGACTGACTTCCTCGCTCCAGCAGTCTCTGGAGCATGTGACGCTGTTTGACAGCATTTGACCCACAAAAGAACTTCTCCAAACGAGCCAATCCCCTCAACCCCTGCCGCTTCGCCAGCTAAGTTCATGTCAGGCTCCAAACCCGTTGCTGTCCCTGCGATGGTCTTCACGGCACCTTTCTCGGGAGCAGATTCCACCTCAAGAAACCGCTTTCTTTGCTCACCTATGGGAAACAACAGCTCCATTCAAATTTGATCAGGAGATGCAGCAATTCAGGCACATCTTTAGGCTCCACTTTCTAATTCTAGCTCTCTTGCTGTTTTCACCACATCTGCAGTGACTCCCTCCACTGAAATCTTGAACCCCCCAAAGTCATCCTTGAGGGTTGGAATCAACTTCTTCCACACTCTGTTCGTGTTGGTATTTTGACCTCTCCCCCTGAATCACAAATGTTCTTAATTGCATCTCGAATGGGGATCCTGTCCTGAAGGTCTTCAAATTACTTTACCCAGATTGATGAGGAGTCGCTGTCTATGGCATCTGTAGGCTTTTATGAAATGTATTTCTTATAGAGTGATGCTTGAAAGTAAAAATCACTCCTTGATCCATGGGCTGCAGGGTGGATGCTGTCTTAGCAGGTGTGAAAATGTTACTGGGCCATAGCCTGGTTCCAAGTTCAGCTGCTCGTTGCCCAAAAGGCCAAAATTTGACAGACAAGTGTTGGTGAAAAGGAAACATCGCTGTATTCAGGAAGCTGGCAGCCTGGGAAGGTCATGGACCAGCATCCCAAGACCACCTCCAAAGTATTTTGAAGGGGAACTTTGAGCAGGCAGGAGGGCGCTGGCACTTAATCAATGGCTCTGGGCAGACTTGTTAGCGTCAAAGAGGCTGTGGGCTTTGCAACCGCCTTGGGAATGGAATGTCATGTGCTGTTTCCGGCAGGCTCCAGGCGGAACTCTTGAAACTCAGAGAGGTCTGGTCAGAGGGCAATGTGGAGGGAACTTTTCAGCTTGTTACAAAACGTGGTAGGTTAGGCTTTGTTAGAACCTCTGACAAAAACATTCACCTCATCGTCCATCTCCACCAGATCTCCTGGGTGACCAGGTGCATTGTCAACGGCAGTAATATGTTGAAAGGAATCTTTTTTCTGATGGTAGGTCTCAACAGTGGGCTTGAAATATCCAGTAAACCATGTTGTGAACAGTTGTGCTGCCATCCAGGCTTTGTTGTTCTGTTCACAGAGCACAGGCAGAGGAGACTGAGTGTAATTCTGAAAGGATAGGATTTTAGGAATGGTCAGTGGGCACTGAGTCACCAACGGCACTAGCCCCTGACAAGAAGCCTGTCCTTTGAAGCTTTGAAGCCAGACATTGGCTTCTCCTCTCCAGCTGTGAAAGCCCTAGATGGCATCTTCTTCCAGCATAAGGCTGTTACCTACCTTGACGATCTGTTGTTGAGTGCAACCACCTTCATGAATTTCTCAGCTAGACCTTCTGGATAAGTCGCTGCAGCCTCTCCATCAGCACCTGCGGCTTCACCTGCACTTCTCTGTCGTGGGGACGCCTTCTTGCCTTCAACTGTGAACCGACCTCTGCCAGCCTCCTGCTTTGCCCCTGCAGCCTCCTCCGCTCTCTCAGCCCTCATAGAATTGAAGAGAGTTGGGGCCTTGCTCTGGACGAGGCTTTGGCTTGAGGGAATCCTGGGGCTGGTTTGATCTTTCTATCCAGACCACTAAAGGTTCTCCCATATCAGCAATACGGCTGTTTCACTTTCTTACCATTCATGCGCTCACTGGAGAAGCAGTTCTAATTTCCTTCAAGAACCTTTCCTTTGTGTTCACAAGCTGGCAAACTGGCACCGGAGGCCTGGCCTTTGGCCTCTCATGGCTTTCAGCATGCCTTCCTCACTAAGCTTCATCATTTCTAGCTTTTGGTTTTAAGTGAGAGATGTGCCTTCAACACTTAGAGGCCGTTAATTGGCCTAACTTCACTACTGTGTCTCAGGGAGGCCCATGGAGAGGGAGAGAGCTGAGGGAATGGCTGGTGGGTAAAGCAGTCAGAACACACATTTATTGGTTAAGCTTCCATCTTACATGGACGTTGGCCCTTAGCTCCAGGGGGAAGGCGGTTTCCAGCCCAGCACAAGTTCCCGATGAATTCGATGAAACCAAAGTAAGACAAGGGAAAGGACAGGCTGGGTTAAGGGGTTTTATTTCTCACAGCGTGCTTGGGCTCGCCAGCCAGGCCGCACACCTTCTGTCCCCTCTGGCCTTGGAAGTGCGCTGGCTTCCCAGCCCACCCCTTCGGGTGACTGGCAAGCACCAGACCAGTTACATGCCAGGAACGGAGGGGAGGAGACAATGGCCGCTTTCTCTCCACCCTTTGC